TCTCATTGATGTGAAACTTGAAACTTTTGAATATAAAATATATAAATATAAACTTCGAATATAATTCAATAGTCAGGAGGTCTAACCACCTCTCGTCTACCTCATTCCATGATTATCAAGAAGGACACGAATTTCTCTTTTAATCAGTAAACGTCATCAACTAATGTTGGTCGTCACAATCCAGGGATGATCTCATGTCCTGAAATAGTTCGAATATCACAGTTACCAGACACACTGATTCGAATCACGTTTACTTACCGATCTAAATCATGAGTCAAATAGAGCAACAGAAGCAAGATCGGCAGTGGACCATGGGGTCATCCATACCGAAAAATTTACTCGTACGCCCTAGCTCCATGGCAAACCGGAATGAGAATGATGGGGATGATGAATGTTTGTCTGCTGATCGGTTCAAATAGTAGTCAGTGGGTTGCTTTGGATCTTAGGGTTTGCGGTTCAGTTGCCGCCATCCATATTTGTTAGGAGGCACTTTCGCTTTGACCCAGATCAATACCATGCCCGTGCTAATACAGCCTTATATGGTTCCTCTTCTTACAATCCCCTGCAGGAAACTGCTTCTTCTGTGGATAATTCCACTGTGTCCGTAGCTCACAGGATTGTGATGGCAAGTGATCTGGCCCCATGAAGATATACTGTTACCCCTTGACACAGTGTGACGAGTGAATTCGTCCATGGTGTTCGCGTTGGTTACGTGTAGATGCTGATTTGATCCGTACAAGTAATGGATTCTGCAGGAGACAGAGGATATTGCTCTCAGACTCTCCGTGATGACATTTTAGAATTTTTATAACGAACTCCTTTTTTGTCGTTTTATCCACAGAACTAGCATCCTTCGTATGTGCATATTTTGTTCCATCAATAAGGTGGTTCTTAAGCGATTCATACGTCTATTCGAAACTCCAATTAAAGTCCCATTTGTTTATAAAAAGCGTGTTGCGCATCGTTGGGAAATCAGGCGATATCTCGTCGTACATGCACATTTTCTCTTCTCCCACACACCATTCTTCTTAATCAAATTGTATGGTCGATCGCTTTTCACCTTAGCTTGACGTGTGTCAGCTTTGAGTCGTCAGTAGCGCTGTTCGCGACGCTGAAATTCATTTGTTTTTAATTATAAACTGGGGCTATCGTTATAGATTCCTTTTTTGTTTTGCCTAGCTGTCTGTGTCCTACCATCTTGCCTATCATTCACTCGTCACCACGGTGATAGATCAATTCTCGTCTGAGTTACAGTGCCTTCTGTAATTGATTCTGTCCTGCCACTCATCAGAAAAGAACATTCCTAAGTAACCAGTTCTGTGTCCCTTTTATTTTTTTCTTATGTACTCTCCTTGCTGTTTTTGTATTTAATACACTGTTGCTGTTTAATTAGTAAACTGTTCCTCTCGCAGTCACTCCTAATCAACCCGCGTTTCTTCTGCCCTCCCGTTCCTCACCGTGTTCAGAGATTTGTGTTATCTTCTCGGTTCGGCTGTGATATACCGCGCCATGTCTGCCATCATCACGTTTGTCGGGGACGACCTGAACTCCACATTTGCTCTAGTTCAAGCGCTGAATCGTATTCTGCTGACCCAACCGGGCTTGCACGAGTTCCGTAATCATTTGCGTACCATCAATGCAGAGGTGAGGTATAATCACACCTGAACTTTTGTTTGATCACAATGCCCTCCCCTTAGTCTCAATGAACCGTTTTCTTTATACTGTGCCCTCACCCATTTGAGGTGTATTATCCTGAAAGACTGTCTAGTTCGAAGCGGATAACAACTCTAGGGAGTTAAGATTTGCTGCGGCCTGTTGGCGGTGGTCAACCGACTAAGTTCTCCGATTTACCAACCTCGAGATTGTGTTCGAATCTCACAACCACCGCCTAAGTTACCCCATTTCGTTATAACATAAAGCAGCCCTTTGACTGGCAGCTCCGCCCTTCCCGGAAATTATTTGTACCATCAGGAGTTCAACAAAATTTTCGACCCCATAGTCCGAGGTTCGAGCCCCGATGGTGGCGCAGTGGTTTAGTCGCTGTCACAGACGTACTTTGGACCTTCTTCACTCTACCTCAAAGTCTAGAACACAGACACATCTTTCGTAGAATTACTGTTTATCTTTTCCTCGACCCGCCGCTTTCAGGCTTTCGACTCAGCAGACCGCTCTAAACTCTGGCACCGCCTCTTAACGGCGCAGGTACTTGGCCATTACGGAAATTGGATAAAAATAGACTGTCAGTGTTCTAACACCACTGTCTACGTCGCATTACACGAGTGTGGTGGATAAATCGGATGAGCAATACTGTGGTTAGGCGTAGAGTTTTGGGTAATCGCGGTCGTCCACTGGAGCAAGCGGTCGACCTCCATAGATTACGCTGCAGCGGACATCACCAAATAGGTTGCCACGGCGAGTGAGGTTTGCCGAGGCAAGTAGCGGATGGGAAAACGCTAAGGGTGGTCCAACCAAGCCCTGGTATGAGGTTATGAAAACCCTAACTAGTACACTGGATCACATAGTTTCCGTTGAGCTCCGTGGGTGGGGACCCCGAGATCATGGTGAACGGTGGCTAGAGACACTGAAACACTAAAATAGCTGAGTGTCGCAAACAGTGGTGTTCGTGCATCTAATCATTATTCTATGAATACCACACAACCTACTGGGGCCTTATATAAAAAGGCTGAGTGACGCCGCGGACGTCTCTGGTACAAAACTCCCAAGAAACTGTATGATCTTGATCATGTCTGGAGCCGACTTATTATTTCGAAGGGATCAGCCACAGTAAAGTAAAGTAATTGGGCACGTAGTCTTTGGGTTTGTGGGGAAAACACAGGGCTTGTTTCTCGTTTGGCTGTGCTAGGTTACAACTGGACTCACTGGATGTGGCCAGTTTCCCAACACGCATTGCACTTCGCATTACGGAATCGAGAAGTGGTAAGCTCCACATGATAAGCACGGTGTGGAGAACTTTTTAAATCGATCGTTTTTTACTGCACCAGTGGCGTTTTTAGGATTGATCCGTAGAAGACTTTAATTTTGCAAACGGGATAATCTGATAGGTTCACACTTATATATAAACGCCTGTGACTCTCTTCTCGAGGTGTTTCGTGTCCAGTGGACCAGTTCGCGATATACCGACTTCTGACACACGGGTTGGTAGGTTTATCGTTGCCAGAGGTGCCACTTTCTCCACCTTGTTTCCCAGGACCAAAGGCTCTTTCCGGAATAAGATATTTAATGTACTATGGAAAGTCTCCATGACCCGTGTCCCTTGTTCGCCGATGAGTTGAAAGTAGACGAGCTTTTTCCTATCCTTTTTCAGCAAGGACGCCATGTATTTCACGTTGACTTTATTGAAAATCCTTCCAAACCCACGATGATTCTCCATCCATCTGTTGCTTTTCTATTGACCTTTCTCAATCACAAGCACTCTACATTATTCTTTATCTGTTGATTCGATCCCCGCCATTAAATTGAATTTGGCGTGGTCAGAGAACCTAAGAGATTTGTTTGCTCTCTCTGGACATCATATTTGGCTCTCGCTTGCTTGAGTGCTTTTGGTAGCAAATTTGAGGTTTGTAATGATTGTAATGATTTCCCTAATTCAGTACCGTAGAACACTACGAATCAATCGTGTTTTGTTTTGGGATTCGTATCGATTTCGACTACACGCCATTCAGTTGCGATTAAGTTGACGTACACGCCGTACTCTAAGCAATTCGCAGTGGTGGGTGCACACTTTGTGAGCATACCGCCGGAACAAATCTGGACTCTCAATTGCCCGTGGCCTGTGCAACTTGACCCGCCCTGAATGCTACCAGTCGCGAATCGATTTGTGGATAGAGGACTATCTTCGCAGACGAATGCTAGCTGTGAATAAGTTGTGGCATACCGCGAAAATAAGCAGTCACGAAGAAACATCGAAGGCACTTCCAGGGTGTGGTGAGTTTCGGCCTGGTCACCTGGCTCCTGTTTAAAAGCCGCATAAACCCAATGACGGTGTCGTGACAAAGGTAGATGTAACTGGCCTTGTAACTGACCCAATCACTTCCGAGGCCAAGGATTAGTTCCTGCTGGTTTGCAGTTCGCACGCTGTTGTGCGAAGGCTAGAGGTGCGCCCTCAAAACAAAAAAGGCCGAGTGACGCTGCGGACGTCTCTGGTACAAAACTCCCAAGAAACTGTATGATCTTGATCATGTCTGGAGCCGACTTATTATTTCGAAGGGATCAGCCACAGTAAAGTAAAGTAATTGGGCACGTAGTCTTTGGGTTTGTGGGGAAAACACAGGGCTTGTTTCTCGTTTGGCTGTGCTAGGTTACAACTGGACTCACTGGATGTGGCCAGTTTCCCAACACGCATTGCACTTCGCATTACGGAATCGAGAAGTGGTAAGCTCCACATGATAAGCACGGTGTGGAGAACTTTTTAAATCGATCGTTTTTTACTGCACCAGTGGCGTTTTTAGGATTGATCCGTAGAAGACTTTAATTTTGCAAACGGGATAATCTGATAGGTTCACACTTATATATAAACGCCTGTGACTCTCTTCTCGAGGTGTTTCGTGTCCAGTGGACCAGTTCGCGATATACCGACTTCTGACACACGGGTTGGTAGGTTTATCGTTGCCAGAGGTGCCACTTTCTCCACCTTGTTTCCCAGGAAACTCAGCATCGGAGTCGAAGAAAATGATAACCCAAGAAAACGCCGCACAACGTCAACTACTCTCCCCAATAACCCACCAATTCAGCATTGTAAGGGTATCGAAGCCCTCTCCCGGCAGACCTGGTCCGTTCGCCACCGATCGTACCCTAACTATGACGATCCCATTCCCAAACAAATCCCTTCTAAAAAGGACAAGTAATGGAAACTCCACGGAATGGAGACATCTGTGTATCAACTTTCTTCTACTTTATTCCCGGGCTTGCCGTCTGTGTCGGTTCACTGGTATATTTTGGGATGCTGATGGACCACTTCGCTTTATCAGCAGGGCTAGCTGCCGCGCGCTTCATGTTTCCGGAAGGCAGTAACTACTGCATTGATACGTTAGATCTTCCGTATACGTATTTCGGGGGCATCGTTAACCAAGTTATTAAGATTCCCTTTTGTTGGGGCTTCAGATGCACGGCACAACCTGGCTCATCTTGAATGTCCGGTATTTACAAATAAATTTGGTGGTGCAAAAATATGTATTGTGGATTTATATATTATGCCTGATTACGAAAGTTGAAAGAACAAAAAATAACACGGTCACATCACATACCGGGTTGACTTAGCTGATTGCGTCACGGTTATGAAGGAAAACGGGGTAGAAAAAAGGGACGGAAAAAGCGATATCCTTTGGGCAAAACAATCATTAATAAGCGGAAAAAACAAAGCGATAAAGAAGAGAGGAGTGTAACGACAGAGAGAGTTCAGGCAAATCGAAAATGGATGACCACTGGTCATCATCCTGTGATCGGATTGGCATCAAGGTGTGAAGATACACTGATACCCAGGTTCGAAAGACTCTGTAAATTGAAAGAAAGCAAGGAGAAGTAGAGTGAGGGATACATGTGACTGAACAAATGGACAGTGAAAGTTTTTTTTGGGGGGGGGGATACAAACACATCAGTACAACTCAGCTTGATCATTCACAAAACATGTATATAATCGGGCGAGTATGAATCTATCCACTGTTAAAATAGATCGAGAAAAGCCCACCTGTATTCATTTCAGGGAAATTTCATATGATGCACTAACACAGAAAAACCTAACTTGGTGTTCACGCAACACATTAACAACATAATATGGGGAGGTGGGATACAAAGCAGTGCAAAGGGGATCAGATAGTCAAACGTTTCTGAATGCTACTGTAGCTTTGGCTATTCGCGATGATATCTTGCCTAATATGACATCTAGCTGCCATCAAGCTCCATTCTGTATTTTCCAAAGCAGCATTTGCATGGCCACTGCCCCCTTCTTAAATGTTGACTGTACACTTGTATATTTAATAAATAAAACAGGAAGTAAAAATGCATTATTATTTATTTGTTATTATTATTATAAGCCTTATTTCGTTCCAATGGAGATAGCAAAGGGCGTTGAAAGCAAGCCATAAGCCGCAACACGACTCGAAATCGGAGGATTCGACTGTTTGACGGTCGACACACTTTTCAGATACTCCAGTTCTTAAAAATGCACCACAACCAGATCCATACCCCACCAAACCTAGTGGGGAATTACGTGGTTCACCACTCCAAGTCCTGGGGCTTAGGTTGCCGGTATCGATCATTGAACAGTAGGTTCTCATGACTATGGTTATTACAGTCTGTTGTTTATCATACAAAGTGAGTATCAAAAAAGAAAACTTTTATCTTATTGAACGAATGAGTTTGGCTAGCTATTGTGCTAACATATAGCGGGGTACTCCAACCATGGACATAGGCGGCAAACCGAATACCTTCTTTGCGAACTTTAGGGAGCCTGAACATACGAGACAACCGAGAGCCTCGAGGGCGGAGTGAAGCGTGTATGGCCCTACCAGGATGGCGATTCTTACGCAGCTGACGTAATTCAACCAAAATGCGATTGGCCTTACAGAAAACATTAAAACAAGCGAAAGGTCCTCAAATTGTACTTGGCTGAGTGTTATTTTCGACAGACTGATCAGACCTTTCCGGAATTGAAGGGAAGTTGTCATGTGACTGCCCGTCTTCGCAAAGCGAAACAACTGTCGGATAGTGGAGATCTGATGGATGCATACAAAATCGACTCTAAACACTACATACTCCTTGTCTTCATGTGTATTGTACAACCTGTGACGACAATTGGACGATGGAAGGTTTGGTGCTATTGAGCGGTGGTGGCCAAGTGGTCAGGTCACCAAACTGTGACCCGGGTTCAAACTGCTCCACCGCCGCCCGTCTTCCCAATTTCTGTATTTTTCAATCAGCCTTTGTATGGCCGCAGTTCCCTTTATGAAAGTTGACTGTACATTTGTAGATTCAATAAATAAAAGAGGAAGTAAAAACACGTTGTTACTTAAATCCCTGTGGTTTGGAAGACCGTTCCTCAAGATGGTACTCGACTCCCCCGTGATGGGAACAGACCATGCGGTTATCTAAAAAGTATCTTTCATAAAAGCTACGGTGCGATCATAGAATCTCTGTCCCACGCAACGTCTCTTCGATATCCCGCCTCAGGTGGGTCCGCCAAAACCAATCAGAGTGTAGTCCGGATTAACCTTCGGAAGAACTAAAGATGAAAACCAAATCAACTGTACCAAAGTTGCCTCACCCTGTGCGCAAGAAGTCTCTGTGAATAGGAGAGCGGTTAGCTTCACAAATCGCTTCGATCACGCTTAGTGCTTTAATACCAGTGACCGGAGTTACAGAATAACGTTAATATCAACTACTCTTTCTTTTGAAACACAAGGAAATAAGTAAACCCAGTTTCGTCCCGCTGCAAAGATTGAGTTTTGCTTTACTTCTCTACTGATAACATATACCAGTAAAACCCTGTGAAAACTAACTTGAGTAAGATAGTCTGTGGGGGAGCCAACAACAAACGGCTCTGGATTGGGACGTTCCTGTGCAGATGACTTCCGACTTTGCGTGGAACGATCCAGTCCGTTCATCGGTCCCGGTGCACCGTCTGAACCTGACTCGGTCGAACATTGCTCTTTCAAGCGTTTGGCGCTACGCCGCGTTTGAATTGACATGAAACGATCAAAAAGCATATCGAACTGGACGTGCTTTTGAATAAGCTGTAGATCTGGTTGGGTGCCTCCAGTTGATCTGTCAAGGAAGAAAGAAAAAACAGAATATAATTTCGATGGAATAATCGTCTAGATAGAACAATATTGATACTAATCCTTGAGGCAAATTAAGCTACTAGTTACCCACTACTATGATCCAGTATTAGGCCCAGCAGCATAGATCACACATCATACGATCAGTACGTTAACTCGATGGAACATCTGAATTGGAAACGGAATGAGAAAGAAAAACAGAATTGTCGATGGAGCACTTACACTTGCCAATCGGAAAGGCAATCCAGCGGGGGCACACATCGGAGCCGACGATCCAATGTTTCGAAAGCAGAGGTCTGAGGTAAACACATTAGAAGACAGTACAATGTCTCGCGAAGATCTGCACTAAAGCGCTTGTCCAGCAGGTGCATTCGTAGGGCTATTAGGATTCCGAGAGTGAATGAAAGGCGAAAGTTACAGATAAAATTTGCGTAAGATTTCCCCTGTGAAAATACATCCAAGTGTGTCTCAAACGAACGGAAGATCGTTTGCAGTGGCGAGATTCAAAATTGCAACCTTTAGGCCGCTTTTGTGATTAATCTGATCACTTGACTCAAGTCATCAACGAGAATTTGAGACCCGATTGTCGTATTCATAATCAGAAAACGTCTGAATAGGATTAAAAGTCCAATATTGTCTTAGTATGCATAGAAAAAACATCAGTTAACGAGAAATACCTCACAATATAGCATTTCTCTGATTGAAGAATATGGAATTAAACTGACGAAGGAAAATGATTTATCTCATTGAAAATGAAAAAAGATGATCTTACGTTTGTCGATCAAATGAGGTGTTTGATTGTTAGTCCCACCGCGGAATCAGATACACTTGGTTAGTTTTTCTGTAATGGGTCTAATCCTGTGATTAGACGTTGGTTCATTTTTTCTGAGAAGCGCATTGTTTTTCGGATCGCGTTGTTGAACCTTGTCAAATCAAGTTCTTGCACGATGAAAAATAAATGCAGTCGAACAAAGACATGTCAATATATTGATCTCTCTGATCGACACAACGTATTCTTAGGAACCTGTGGATTCAACTACTTCCGATGAGTAGTAGATTATTTTCGCTTACGGGCCATCTCAATTGGCGGCCCTGGGGGGGGTGAAATCATGAATCAAATCTGTTGACAGGTACGTTCCGCCAATTCTCTGAAAACATGGTAACACTAAAGATAATAAGACGTACACCGTTTATGTTTCAGGTTTGAATATTTCGGATATCGTTTGGTATCCTGATCAGGGGCGTGTGAAGAACAAGATTTTCATTGGTGGTACAACAAGGTATTGGTAGGGGAATAGGAACCAAATAGTCACTTTTTTATATTCTAACGGGCACCCTGAATATCCTGAACTGCAAAGAAGTGGTGCATGAACCAAATATTCAATCAGCAGTTGTCTACAACACAATTCTCCACACTTGAATATTTGAGGGCGTCCAGAGTTTTCTGTGACTGCGGTGTTCAAACAAATATGTCTCTGCTCTCAACGTTCGGATCTTTATTCTGCTCTTTGGTCCAAACGGACAGCCAAAGACAATAGCCTAAACGGGCGCATGAAAATGCACGGCTGTTGGTTGTAAAAACTGAAGCTGACCTGACAACGCACCATTTTCTGGGTATCAAAGCAGCTTTGAATCCTAGTGCGAATCCGCCAGAGAATTCTTTTCAAAATAAATATCCGTTCATACTAAT